CCTGGTTCAGTCAAAGTGTTATATTTTGGAGTTCTATGGAAGATTTGGGGAAAAAAATAATTCTATAGCTAAAAAAAAAAAGATGTGCACAAGCACACACATATGCATGTACACATATACACTATATATAATGTTTATAAAGCCATTTTTTCTAGGACGGTTTCATTGGCAACTCACTATAGCTTAGACTCAGTTTTCTCTAACTGCAAACCCAGTTCACTCTAGCTGAAGTAGGGGAAAAGATTTTATTGACTATTGTATTTGGAAAGTCAAAGGGTTTTCTGGCTTCGGGCATTGGTGAATTAGGGGTATTGAGCTATATCATTGAAAGGGTCTCTCTTTTTCTCTCTGCTTTCCTCCGTGTTTATTTCATTCTGAAAAGGTCCTTTTCTTGTCCAGGATCTCTGGATCTGCAGCGTTCTTACCGTTGGCAATCTCAGAAGAGGTAAGAACCGATCTCCCTGTGTCCCTATTGCTCTTTCAAAGACTCTGCTGGATGCTCTTGGGTTGTGTGTCCACCCTTGGGCCAGAAAAAGTCCTCTCACCCGCCAGCCAGGGGCACACGCCAACCTCTGTGGAAGAAGATATTTGCCCATTAGTGTAACATAGCAGCAAAAGGAGAACATACGGAAAAGACTACATTTACCCACCACGTCACCGAAACGAGGTAGGACAAGTACCTTGGAAGAAAACTAAAACGAACCGTGTAGCATTGGATTGGAAATGGACGTGTTAGAGAGAATTTAAGGTTTTTAAGACAGATAGATGATAGATAGATAAATGATAAATAGAGATAATATAGATGATAGACTAGAGACAATGATAGATATCGATGCTAGATAGACAATAATAAATACAAAGGTCAGAGTGTGGGGGGCGGGGCAGAGAAGTGACAGGGAAGGGAGCTTTGCTAATATCTAGGAGAAGATCATTCCAAGCTGAAGCAGCAAGTGCAAAGGCCCTGAGGCAGAAATATACTGATTGGTTTCAAAAAGGAAAAGGCCACAGTGCAGGGGAGGCTGTGCTAGGGAAGGCACGATAGAAGTCAGGCTGGCGGGATGCCCAGCGGTCTGACTGCATCGACCCTCTGGATACTGGGGCAAGGATTTTTATCTTTATCCTCCGTATAACGGGAAGCCACTGCAGAGTTTCCAAAGCGGGAGTGACATGATTCAATTTATGATTTAAAATTATCACACTAGCTGCTGTTTACCCAACAGACTCTTTGGGGAACAAGAGCAGAGGCGGGGAGATCAGTTGGAAGAGTCTGCGTGCAGCCCGGGTGAGACGCGAGGAAGGCTTAGGCTAGGGTAATAATGGTGGAGAGGTAGTAAATGGCTCCGAAAATAAGAACAAGGAATATTTTGGAGGCAAAAAGGTCTGTGACTATAAACAACCCTCTCCTATTGGTTTTTTTTTTTTTTTCCTGGGGGCTGCGGGGAAGGGCAGTCCGTGTGCAGAACAGGAATCCACTCACCTGCCCTTTTCCGAATTTCATCAGAGAGCCCTCGCTCACCCGCCAAGGCACACTTGCGCCGCCCTCCCGCACACCCTTCCACCCCGCATCAGTCACGTCGCACACTCCCCTCGCACTTCGTTCCTGGGCCAAAAAAGCAACGGCCTCAGCACGTCCTCACGCCCTTAGTGGTGTCTGTCTCACTTCCAGATTCTAACAAGCTCCTGAAGGGCGGGTTCCCGTCTTAGGCAGCAAAGAGTGTCAGGACTTACAGAGCCTGAGTCATGGTAGGTATTTCAACAGATATGAGCTAATGTGTAAACAGCGTAACTGTTAAACACAGCATTTTCCAGAGAGAGACATGAGAAATTGTGACGCTATGGTAACTCATTCATCCCTCCATCGGTCAACCAAATTTCTGCAGAACCTGCTGGATAGAACAGGATTTCCACAGTCACTTCTCTGCCCGATGCGAACGAAATTCCAGTTCTGCAGGAACAATTCCAGGACCTGCCTTGCAACCAGCACTGAAAATTCCTTCCAGTGGGGAAGTCTGGCAGGTTCACTGGTACCCGATTTAGCAACCGCCAGACGTCCGGGCTGCCTGTATGGAAAGATGGTTACTGTGACAAACAGGGTTTCGGCCAAGGCCAAACCCACAGGTGACTCAGCACACGAGCATCGCCAGGTGGACGTTCCACACCCAGCAGGTCCACACCCTGCTCCCAGTCACGGTTTGATTCCATTCACACTACACGTTTTTGTGTTTTCTATAATTACACGATAAATAAAAGGAGATAAATGAGAATCAGAGAATCGTCAAAGGCTGAAAAGCCAGTGAGTGCTTAGAGTCACAATCAGAACAAGTCTTATGACTCTCTATCCCATTAGCTTAACCATTATTCAAAAAATAAAAATAAAATCTAGCCTCAATCCACTTGGAGTAAGAGTTAAAAAACGAAAGCAGGCGCACAGCTTTTGCTATGATCCTAACTTCGAGTCTCATTCCCAGATCCCCGCCCTGCCCCCACCGCCCATCACAACCTACTCTGTCCTACAGGAAAGTAAGTTAGGTCAGAATCAAAGGCCGAAGGCAGCTTTGGCCAAGAGGCGGTCTGCGTAAGCACACTGTATTATCTGTGGTCATAAGAAACCAGCGACCCTCATCAAGTATGTTAAGAGATCAACACAGTGCCCAAATTACAGTGCGGGCACTGAGGAGTTCACGCAAGTCACCAGGACGAAGGCGACATACCTTGGAAAGTCTGTTGATACAGGGAACCTTGCCTTGGAGACCGTCCTTTGCACCCAACTGCCATCCAGGACTATTTACTTTGTGCGCTGAGGCTCTGTGTAGCTTCGCACACGGCTGCTCATCCAATCCCAGGATGTGGCGTGATATTTTAGAAGCCCTTAGCATTCCTAGACCCTGCTGTCTGTAGATATAACCAGACATATTTGAAATAAAAATAAGGCAACCTCAAGGCTCTGTTAATGAGTCTATATATACAAGGGTTAGATGAAAGGTCTGATTTACCTGATGAGATTTTTCTACCAAATCCCGCCTACCCTTGACATCTCATTACGGTAACAGAAGAGTCAAGAGCACTAAATCCTGGACACAGTATTTCGCAAGTGGGCACGCAGTAATATTAGGGAAGGCAAACATAAAAGGAGTTCTAAGGAGCACAAGCTAAGTCTGAGCTTTCCAAAAAGATGGTTTTAGTGACACGGCAATTCCTTAAGCAACTTGAAAACTAGCTGTGTACATCAGACTTACGAGAGTTCTGACTGAGATCGCCTTAGATTATCTAGTGAATACGTGATACTCTCATTGCTTTTGCAGTGCTCTTGGAAAGATCCATTTTATCAGTGTCCAAACAAAACAGCTACTAGCTGACCTATCAACTTTTCCGAGAACTGGGCTCCTAAAATGGATTTAGTAATCCAAGCCATAATGAATATCAAAAAAAAAAGAAGAAGAAAAAGAAAAGAAAAGAAAAAAGAACTCCTTTTTCTGGGTAAAAAAAAAAAAAAAAACAAGACAGTCACTCCAATATACATTTTGGATTTGCTGATTTTCTGTCAGGATCACCCCAATAGAGACTTAAAGCAACAACAAAGAGAAAGGGTCAGGGGTGAGAACAGGAAGGCAGATGACCACGGGGTAACCAGTTTGCAAATTCCCTTTTGGAATGAACTCCACCTGCCTAGACAAGAAGAGTGGATACTGACCGTGCTACGCCAGGCCTACCTATATAGTTAATTAGATGGAATTGTCTGAATTTCTCTGCAAAATAACTGAGTCTGTGACTTTGCTCAAGGCAGAGTCCACAGTGCTAGAGTCCAAATACCTAGGCTAAAAAAACAAAAAAGAAAGAAAAAAAAAAAGGCCAGTGGTTCATATTCTTGTTCCCTAGCTGTTCCAGCCCAATAAAATCTAACTAGGTCATTGAAATGAAAAACGAAACAGTCCTTGTTTGTAGTAAGAAAGAATTTAACTTACTCAAAACCACGAGAGAGTGAAGGGGAGAAGAAAATAATGCAACACACGCATTTAGAAATATAGAATTTATTTGTATTCATGATAAGACAGTTTTGCATTCTGTACATGGTTACGCAAGAGATGTAACACTCTCAGGAGTTTAAACAGCATCATATTGCTATCAAACATTGCTTATGCTGTGTGAGTTGGGGAAAACTTATTTCCCCCTTTAAAAAATGTAAGGCTCAGTTTCCAAAAGGTAATTATACCAGTTATTTTCTGTGTATGAGACTGGGAAAGTTCGGGAATAAACCACAAAGGGGCGGAGGGGGAGGGGCGACTTCACACACTACTCGCTCGTTCCTACCGAAGACGCCCCATGCGACTTTTTCTTGTAAAGGCTCCTTCTATTTGAAAATGTGTTTAGTTACAAAAACAAACAACTCAGTGGACGGGAGGGGAACTAGGTACAGATCTCCAGCACACGAACAAGGAAAACCAGCCAAGCTCTTCATTGCCAGTTGCTGGCTAAAACGTGCTCGCATGTTGCCTGCGTATAAACGCGCACACACGCACTAACTTTGACTCACTCTTCTTTGCTGAAGCTTACCAAATAGTATTTCTCTCTCAGTGTCGTAGTAAAAAATAATTTACATTTCCTTTACACTTCCAGATCAAGTAGCCACAGAGTCGTCCTGTCTCCTGAACACAATCCTCCGATTTTCCTTCCAGCCGGGCGGCAGAACATGACCACAGCGGTCGCCCACGCTGATGTGCAACCCACCCTCGAACTGACTGAAGGGAGCGGGAAAGCTAACTAAGAAAAGAGAGTTTGGGTTTTTTTTTTTTTTAAATTACCATATAGACAAGTTCCAAACACACGTTAGAGGCATTTTTTCCTGTGCAAACATTTCATTCGATCAACACCAGCACAATCATTTCACATAAGGCAGTTCCTGTTTTAACTCAGTAAACAACCTTGCAATTCATGGGGCTCATAGAACAACCACCACAAAACAACAAAGGGCACCTGTCGGTTCTGCCTCTGGCATAAAGAGGTAGAGACGATCATTCTGTAGAAAAGATTAACGATAAAAACAAAACAATAAAACAAAACACTGCCCCTCCAAAAAAAAATAAAAAATAAAAACCATTCCATTCCTAAGGGCTGGCTCTGCAAAGCCAAGTTTATCTGCAGGGTGGCATCAGTCCGACTTAGAGCTCGGAGATCCGTTGCCCACGATCATCTTGCTGTAATTCTTCTGCTGCTCCTCCTTAAAGGCGTCCTTCACCTTTGCCCTCTTCAGCCCTCCGTCCCTGGGAATGGGAGACAAGCATAAGACACTCCCCAGCGGTGCTGGAGCAGGGCCACCCGCTGCACAGTGCCATGACGCTGACCCGGCCTGTCAGCAGCGGGACCAAGGACGCTGGATTTGGAAGCAGGAAAACCCAGATTTCAGTCTCTGACCAAATGTATGTTACTTTGAGGAAAGACCCACCTCTCTGATGTTCGGTTGAAATAAAAAAACAAGAGCCCCACTCCGTTTCTTTTTAGAAGGTAGGGCTGCTGTATTAAATGCTTGGATTGAAACAAGGATTATTAACACTAGCATTATTTCCCTACATTTTCCCCCTAGGAAAACAAAATACTGGTTTTTCATCTACCTATGCCTTACTAGAAAACCATATGGAAAATTTTAGATATATACACAAGAAATGGTGAGGGTGCTACAGATGGGTGGGTAAATTTCTTAATTGTAAACGGGTTAAATGTTATTCAGATCTGACCCTATGTTTCACAAGTTCCATTTTCATTCAAAGCACTCTATTTCCAGTATTTATAATCTTCCATATTACAAAACAGACTCAGAATCAAACAAACAACAAAATCACAAATTGCATTCACCCCGGAGTGAATGCCTGAGTAAGCAGCATGCCTTCACTCAGAGCCCACAGATCTTTGAACTCTCTCCAGGGTGGGGAAAACGCAGACCTGCCCGGGGATCTGGGCTCTGCACACCTGTCCTTTGGACTACGCAGAGAAACAACAGACCCGAAGGGCTGGGAGGAGACTGGGCCACTGTCTCCCTCCTAATCTAATGTTTTAGCGTTTAGCTCCTAGGAGAGTGAGGACGGAGAAATCGCTTACTTTATACCGTGCCTGTTTAACTTTAACCAGTCAAGCGTTCATGTTTACCAAGTGCTTCTGATCGTGATGAATGATCGCAGGCTGGCCAGTGAACTCGAGGCCATGAGGACAGAACTTGACCTCCATACGGACACCTGCCTGAGACCACTGCGATGTTCTGGCTTCTAGAGCCAAACCTAAGACACAGCCCACCAGCGAGTCCTCGACTCGGAACAGACCGTGATCCACACGTCCAGGGGATCAGTTGCGGGAAGTTTTCATGAAATGAGATTATACATTGTCCCTAGGCCCCCAGAATTGTCCACGTAAGCCTCTTTTAACCAGATGAGCTGCCTCTAACTCTTCACGATATTTACCTGAATGGTGAGAACTAAGAGCGGGGGAGAGAGTAAGAGAGGCCTTTCTCCTTTCCTGAGGTCCAGGCCAAAAACAGGCAAAAATGTGCAGTTAGCAACGTTTGTTTTGAGCAACCTGACATTATTTTTGTACAGTTCTCCTTCCCAAGCACCCAGTAAACTTCGTGCTGCTCTAAGCACCCCAGCTGTGACGTGCCACTTCTAGGGACTTCAAAGTTTGATCCATCTGCTCTTTCCAACGGCAGCAGGTCTTAGTTCTTAAGAAAAGCAGCAGTCCTACAGAAGAGCCAGTTTAAGATCATACAATTAAATTTTCATTTACGCTATGAAAAAAGCAATCCAGACACGTTAATTCATATCCGACAGGTAGATGACAAACATATCTGGAAAGGCAACGAGGCTATTTCTTTGTTAAAAAGAGGCTGGGTAATTAAAAGGAATCTCTTATTGTAAAATGGCACATGGCCTCATAAAATAAAATTGAAAAATCCTGAGGATCATTTTTGACAAATTTAGCTGAGCTAGTCTGATGGCGAGTCTGTCCTTGGCTGACTCCTCTAGGTGGTTTTTGTCCCTCAAGGCTTTCTTCCTTGTCTCTGTGTCTGAGACCACACACGTTCCAAAGCCCCAGGCTTTTCATAATGGCTTCAGGGGAGGAGCAGAAGGGCTGGAGGTCAGGGAAGAGGAAGGATGAGAAAAGAGTTTAAAAGAGTTTTTAAAGAAATGAAAAGGAAGCCAGTTGCACATATGAACACAGATCACTGGGACATTTGTGAACTAGGGGAAACCTGCGATTTCATGACATTATGATATCTGTCCTTTAGTTTAACACATTCCAATTTAGATGGTGTAAAACAAATATCAGTCTTATACCTTAGAGCCAGTCAGTTGCGCCTTAGTTGAGAGCTCATACTCCAGGGGTACTCAGCTGGCATTTGATCAGAAGGCCACCTTCCGGAAGTACCCCTACATAGCTTTGGCTATCTTTATCACCCAGCCACTTCCCAAGCTTTATTAATTAGTATAATAAATTTTAGAAATAGGCTTTCATCTATTAGTAGCTTCTTAGAGTCACGGATGCCAGAAACAGGCTTTCCTGGGTAAAATTAGTGGTTTTCACGTTATGTGAAAGGGTAAAATATTTTAGTGATATTTCCCACCCTTGCATAAAGGAGAACGGTAAGTCCTCACTTAATGTCATTGACAGGTTATCAGACACTGTGACTTTAAGCAAAACGATGTAGAACAAAACCAATATTTTTCTCTTCAACGTTATAACGCAACAACATTGAACAAAATAATATTACTCAAGGACCTTCCGTAAGTCGTTTTGCTGAAAGTCATTTCCAAGAACCTATCGATGATGCTAACTGAGAGCTTACTGTGTAAGAATCCAGCCAGCCTTTCTTCTAGGGCACACACCCCAAACAGTCCTGGGTCCTTCTGCTGGTTCAGAAGGTTCTTGGTTGCTTGGGGGACAGCCTGACTCAGTTGACCAAATCCCGCTCCTAGAACATTGCTACAATTGCCTCAAATGAACTTCTCATGTAAAATGTTTTTGGAACACCAAAAGAGACGGCAGGAACTTTATTGAACTTATTGGACATGAAGTATAGACTGTTTTGTGACAGCTTACTATTAGAATGTCTACATGTGTGTAAGAATTTGATCCCCTATGATAATATAGGTACAGTTAACTATCACTGTTACAGACTGAATGTTTTAGTCTCCTCCAAAGTTCACTAAAGCTCTAACTCCCAAGGTGATGGTTTCTGGGAGGTAGTTAGGGTTAGATGAGGCCATGAGGGTGGAGCCCCCTTGATGAGATTAGTGCCCTTGTAAGAAGAGACGCTAGAAGGGCTTGCACAAAGAAGAGGTCATGGGAGCACACAGGAGAAGGCAGCCATCTGCAACACGAGGGGAAAAGCCCTCACCCAAAACCGACCATGCCGGCGCCCTGATCTCAAATTTCCAGCCTTCAGAACTGGGGGTCGATAAATTCCTGTTGTTTAAGCCACCCAGTCTATGGTACAATAACCCCGCCTTGTCCGTGATTTCGCTTTCCACGGTTTCAATTACTGGCAGTCAACCATGGTCTGAAAATATTAAGCTATTCTGAGAAAGAAAGAGAGGCCCCATTCACATAAGACTTTATTATAGTCAATATACTATTCTAATTGTTTTATTCTATTATTAGTTATTGTTGTTAATCTCTTACTGTGCCTAATTTATAAATTAAACTTTATCACATATGGATGTATAGGAAAAAACATAGTACAGGATCTGGTACTATCCATGGTTTCGGGCATCCACGGGGGCTCTCGGAACGTATCCCCCACAGGTAAGGGGGAACTACTGTATTTTGTTTTTGGCAGCCCAAGCAGAGTACATTCTGTACTCAACGACATCCCGTCTTCTTCAAACAAACAAAAAACTAAAGCCATAGTTATTCATAAGTAAAATATTTTACTTCTTTCCCTTTCTTTCAAGTTGCTAAGCTTTCTTGAATACAGTTATAGCTCGAGTTAGTAGGAATGAGCCTATAAGTAGCCCCTTGCCTCCCACTGCCCACCCCACTCCCAAATCCATTTTCCCTTTCTTCTTCAGGAAAAGAATCTAAATTTTAGCTAAGCACATGGCCACCCAGAACAAATACTACATTCTCAGCTTCCTTTGCAGCTAGGTGTGACCACCTGACTTGAGTGCTAGCCAGTGGGTACAAGTGTAAGTGGCATTTCCAACTTCCTTCCAGCCAAGCTCTTAAAGAGATGGGTGTGTCCTCCTTTTTTTAATTCCTTCCTCCACGCTGGGTAGAGTGGGAGCAGCCATCCTGGGCCGCAAAGTAGAAGGACAAGTCGAGGACAGTGGAGCGATACAGACTGAGCTGTTACACTAGCCTTTGCTGCCCACAATCAAGTGAGGGAGATAAACTTCGATCCTATTTAAGCCATTGTTATTATGCACAAACCACTATCACTTTCAGCCAAACCTACCGATAACTAGAATAATAAATGGCAGTGTTAACAGTGATTTTTTTCCTCTAATTAAAAAAAAAAGTGATAGTATTTCTGAAAAACTTCTTACCAGGGAAGTTCAGTCAATCCTCCTTGTATAGCAATAGCAGACTTAACCCTATTAGCAAACTGGACTGCATCTTCTCCTTTCTGTTTTAAAAAAAAAAAAAAAATACATCTTGGGTATAGCGTTTTTAATACCTCAAAACGTCTTATAATCATTTATATTTGTTTTAAATTATAAGATTCACATTTCAGCTCAAATACTTTGTACTCGTAGTCAATCAAAGCTGATATCTTTTGTTCTAGTAAGAAAATGCAGTGCTGTATTTCACTTTTTTTAACATGTACAGCATTATTAGACTCTTTATTAGTCTTACCCAAGAAACAACATTATGTCATATCTATAGGTTCAATAAACCAACAGCAATTGCAAAACTCTTATGGAAAACAGTCTCTGAATATAAAATGGTCTGATTTGAAGAGAGCTGACTATATTATTAAAATGACTCACTGGCTGAGAAAGCAAAAACGCATGATAGGGAGAAGGGAGACACCCAGGTTTTCAGGCAAAGGTTTTCTTGCCTTTATTTGATTAGATAAAGTGATAAAGTGCCAAAGACCAGCTGTTATCTAAGGAATACCTCTCTGGTCATGGGGGGCATGTACCACACGTCACAGACGATGGCCCAGCTGGTCATCATTCGAAGCAGGTAGCTCACCATGTTGTATTTACTGCTGTTCCAAAAGGCATCACCAAACTGAGGGTTATACTGGAAAAAAGAATAGAAAATGCATCCTACTTAGGAACTAAGCGGTGGCTTCTCATCCGTGTCAACATTGTTAGGGTGGCAGGCCAAGTATCTTTATCTAGCCCTAGGCCAAGGGGAGTTCCTTTTGTTTATTGGACTTGTTCCAAAAAGTTAACCCGGCCCGGTTACTTGCACTTGTTTTCTTACTTGGGGCCCGGGTCCTTGCGGCAGGGTTCTTTCTTTTGCTTTTTAATTTTTTTTCCCCCCCTTTCCTTGGGGGTTCGTTGGGCCCGTTCCCGTTTTTGTTTGTTCCTTCCTTCTTGGTTCTTTGGCCCGGCGCTTGCCCGGCGGCCCCCCGTTGCGGGGTTTTTTCCGGCCCGTTGGGGCCGAGGATCTGAACTGGGGTGGGGCGTAACGTAATGGTGTGTTTGATTTGAGTGTATAGTATGTGTGGTTCGTTTTTTTCTTTTTTATTTTTGGTTTGATTTCATTGAAGTTACGTTCCCAGTGCTTTTTTTGTTTTGTTTTGTTTTCTGGCATCTGTTTTACCTTAATTGCAACCGGATGTATGGTTCCTCCGATCTCAAAGCTTCCCTTTTTAAACATCATGACTGAAGTGTTGTTGATGCAGGTTCCTGCAGG